CTGAAGTTCTAGTAGGGGCATGTCTGAATGATGTGAGATGAGGAGCAGGGGAGAAAGTGGAGTTCTTGCTGAATATCCTCAAATTTTTCAGTGAAGTATAAAGAGAATTTTTTTAGCTGAGAGGGTAGAGGGAGGGCATTTAGTGGGTGATCTGAGGAGAGATCAGAAGGTTTGAAAGGACCCCTGTGAGGAGTGAGATAGCAAATCAATTAGGGAGGAGTAGAATGTTTTCCTTGCTTGTTAGGGCTCAGTTGAGATTAGATAACATAAATCTGTAATGGACCCAGCAAGCACAGTTTCATGATTTCCTTTAGCTCTACTCAGAAGCACATGAATAGCAGCGAAGGTAGTGCAGGAGGGGAGTAACACAGGATTGGAGTTTAACAAGATTTGATTGATGATAGGACTAGGAGGGAAGAGATTCAGGAGTAGAGGCTAGTGTAGAGTTGAATTGGTTCACCAAAGGGAGTTAAGTTGGTTCACCAAAGGAAGAGAGGAGAGCATAGCGTAAGGGTGAGGTTTTACAAAATAACAGAGGTGGTGGGTCGGATGTTGTACTGGTAAATGTCTAACAACTGACTCTTTTTAAAAGTGTACTCAATATACACATTTACATTTAATTTAATTATCAGCATTTCTATCCATCATTTTCTTAAGAATACCAACAAAACAATAAATCAAGCCTTGATTTATAGCATTTGACAATTTCTGGGGTATCAGTGCTCATGCTGAAAAATTTAATAATAGGCTCTCTGAAGCCAACTCAAGATGGCATAATGGATGGTGGAGTAAGGATGAAGACTCAAGTTAGGGATTGTAGGACATAGGGAAAGATAGAATGATCTAAAAAACTGTGATCAGATAAAATAATTTTGGGTTGCATGGACTCCAAAGTAAGACATTTGTGGGTAATGGCAAAGTCAAGGGTTTCTTGCCTGCACACAACTCTCTGTATAGCTGAGATGCAAAGTAAAAGTAGATCAAGGGAATTCAGTAGACTGAGTAATAGGGAAGTTAGGATATTTGAAGGAGCACCAATATGATGATGAAATCCCCTTGTATAAGGGTAGGAGATTGGGAAAAGAGAAAGACTGTGAGCCAGGCTCTGAATTCATTAAGGAAGAATTCTATGATGCTATGATCAAGTTGATAAGATTGACTCAGTGTTTTACAGTGAATCAATGACAAATTGAAGAATAGAGGCCAATGCTAGTCTGATCCTCTATTTTAGGCCAACAGTTCACAGAACTGAATTTCAGATTGAGAAGGGACCTCAGAGGCCATCCAATCCGTATCTAAAAACAAAAAGAATACCCTCCACAGCACAGTGGCACTTAGTCATCTTGCCACTTCAATGAAGGGGAACCCACTACCTCCCATTGCAGCCCATTCCACTTTGGAATAACCCTATTAACAATCCCCACCGCCTATCTATCTTATACCTCTCTTAATGGAACCTAAGATCACATTAGTTTCTTTGGTTCTTAAATGGTACACTAAGGGCAAACCTAAGACAAAATTGTAAACAGGCAAAGTTTGCCTTTAAAACTATTCCATCCTTACTTTTGTAGCCAACTTCTTCTATCATCTACTTTTCCCACCAAATATAGGATGTCTTCAGATTGCCCCTGAATCTTCAAGGTCATACTAGCTAGGCATAGAATCACAGAATCCTTAATTTGGGAAGGACCCTTGGAGACCAACATCTACCAAAATTATGACTAATGTCTATAATAATGGCAAATGGTCATCTAGCCTCTGATTAATCTTAATTCACTGATGGGTAGCTCACTGTTCCCTAAACCAGTCCACTCTACTTTTGGACAGCTCTAGTGGTTAGGACTTTTTTTTTTTGTTAAGACTCATCTTTCTATGTTTTACATGATTGCACACGTATAATCTATATCTGATTGCTTACTGTCTCAGGGAGGAAGGAATGGAGGGATAGAATTTGGAACTCAAAACTTTAAAAAAAAACCCAAATGTTAAAAAAAGGACTCCTCTTCCCAAGTTCGAATCTGGCCTCAGACACTTACTAGCTGTATGATCCTGGGCAAGTCATTTAATCCCATTTGCCTCAGTTTCCTCTTCTATAAAATGAGCTGGAGAAGGAAGTGGCAAACCATTCCAGTATCTCTGCCAAGAAGACCCCAAATGGGGTCACAAAGAGTGAGACACAATTGAAATGAATGAATCACAAAAACTGTTAGGAAGTGTTTACTGTGGTTGAGTTATCTATTTCACTATCACTTCAATCTTTTGCTCCTACTTCTGCCCTATGAGATCAAGCAGAAAAAAGTCTAAACCTTCTTCATGACAATCTTTCACATTTTTAAAGACAGCTATCATCTCCCCCTGACCTCCCTATCAATTCTTTTCTCCAGGCTAAATATCCTCAGTTCTTTCAACTGATTCTCATGTTTCCTCTTAGTTTCCCATCTTCTCCTCATCCTTGCCACACTCCCCTGGAAATTTTCCTTCTTATCAATGTCTCTCCGCAAATGTGGCACCTTGACTTGGAAACAATGTACTGTATGTGATCTGACCAGGATAGAGTATAGCAGAACCATTTCTTCTCCGGCTTTCAACATTCTATGTTTACTTATCCAGTCCAAAACTGAATTAGCTCTTTCAGCTGCACTATTTCACTGCTTATTCATATCTGCTAGAACACTTGGCCCTTTTCCAAATAGGGCAACCCCTGGCAGTGCCTCCCACAAGTATCCCATGTTCTGGACTTTTCAGTTCCTAGTTCCCATTTTGTCTCTCTTATGCCTGACTTATGTCCTATTCTTTCTGCTAGGGTGAGCTCAATAAATTAATTCAAGCTGATGTGCTAATGGCCAAAAGAGTTAGTTCTCCAGATAGTATTTACAGTTTAACGGAGGCCTTCAACCTAATGTCTTGTACAAAGCATGAAGAATCTGGTAATTTCAGGCCCTACCATCAGGTAGTCATGGGGAGAGATGTCTTTGGGTAAGAGGCCTTTAGGCATACCTCAAATTGTACCATGAAGGAGACTAGCTATAAGTGTACAGTGGGTAAATATTCTCCAGATTCTCTGTAGGCTGGTCCAAATTGCAGTGCAAATCTCCTCAAAGTAATCATTTAGTTGTTGGGGTTTTTTGGGGGGTGGGGTGGGGGGAAGAATATATTTTTTACAGGAGTAGAATCAAAACTGCAAAGAACACTGACAAACATTCAAAATGTAACTAATTTTATGACATATCTTGTTTTTTAAAAAAGCCTACCTTTTTGTTTGTAGTTTTTTGCAGAGACAAATGGGAATACTTGGGGTAAGTGGGAGTTGGTGATTTGCCCTGCTGAAGCAGTCCTCAGGCTGCAAAGTCTGAAAGCCATGGGGGTAAGACATGCTGGCTGCCCATGGTGATAAGCAAAGAGTGAATTCTGGCCAAAGGGACAGGAATGGATAACAAAAGGAACATTTAGCAATCTGGACACTCCCCCTTTTGGTAACTGATTAAATGGTATTAGGCCAGCTACCAACATGAGAAAAACAACCCTGAAGCTTCTGTTTCCAATAGGAAGAAAGTTCCCTTTCAGAAAGGGAGTATACGTCACCTGGCTTGTGGTAGGTCTCTATTGGAAATCTAAGGCAGGGACTAAAATAACTAGGGAATGTAGAATAATTCACGTAAATTGTCACTCCTAACAATATGGTGTGGTTGCCTTTTAGGAGAGTGAGTCTTCATAGTGCCAAAAATTTCCTTAAAAGTGTGTGTGGGCTTCCCAAGCTCCACCCTTTAGACAGCCACTCTGGCAAATGAATAAGTGATCACATCACTAGTCTTCTGAGTGCTGGAAACTCACTGTAAGTGTATCCGGATGGCATTTTTAAGCATCCAACTACCTAATTTGAGCTCTGAACTGGTGCCTGCTTGCATGTTTATTGAAATGTGTTATCTTAAACAAAACAAAAAAGGAAACTTGAATCTCATGTATATACAATTGCATGCTAACCTCTAAATATTTTCCTTTGATGCCCACGCAGTAATTATTTATCCGAGATATAAATCATAATCCTGCTGACAAAAATCCGAATTTCTCCCAAACAGAAGGATGCCTTGCAAAGCCCTTCTTGTAACTATTTCATTTTTTTAAGGTAAGATATTATCTGATACTTCCGTAAACAAAACTTCAGGGGATCCAATCCAGTGGAGTTTTAAACTGAATGTGTCACAACTAAAGCACATGTGTGCATCAAATAAACTTAAGCACACAAGTAAACTTAAGTTTCAACTTTAAGAGATTCAAAACCGAAAACAGCTATTTTTCCAGTCAGTGGATCTTATGGAGAAAGATGCCAAATACATTTCCCAAGCCAGCTAAAAACCTCCACTGGCACCTAATCATTGCCAGATGTTTAGAAGGCGCACCAAGAACATCACAAAATCATGGAGCAAACACACTCACACTACAACATACCAACCTCCCCGGCTGGTAAATTGCCCAAAAGAAGAAAAACGAAAATATAGGAAAGAGGCTGGGAAATACTTGAGAAAGTTAAAGGAAAAAAAAAATGACTGGGAAGAATTATTACTCCTCTCCTCCTCACCATATTTTTTCAATTAAAAAGTTGGAAACTGGAATCCGTAAACAACTACTTAGAGTTTCAAACTCCTTCAGAGACGAGGGGGAGGGGGAGGGAGGAATATTTCCAAGTTTTCACATCCCGTCTGCATGATGCATATTTCTCCTTACAGATACACGTGAACTTGCACACCCACGCATGAGATCTGCGTGGGTGCCCCAGAGGAGTGTGCAAGAAGTTCATATGGGACAGCTACCGAGCCAGCTTTCTACCTCCCTCGGTCCCCGTGCTCTCTAGCAGGAGTATGGGGCAGGTATCTCTCTCATCCCTGCCCTACACTGGCCGGCCAGGTACTGACAGATGCCCCTCTTAGCCTAAAGGCAGCCAAGAAAAGCTGAGAGATGGAGCCTCCCCAAGTCCCCAGGTGCCCACCCGCTCCTCGTCTGACCTTTCATGTTGACAGAAAAGAGGAGTCGCCTGGGAGACTTGGAGCGCCGCTTATGAAGTTTGCCGTGGTCCTCTTTCTTATTCGACTTCCATGTTCAAACACCGGTGGGACGCTGCTGCTGCTGCTGCTGCTGCTGCTGCTTCCCAAAGTGGCTGTTGCTGCTGACTGGTAACTGTGCCTGTTGCCTGTCCTTCTCCCGACCAGTCAGTCAGTCCTCTGAGCTCGGGCTCTGCGTCCCAGGCTCTTTCCAGTCTGAAAACTTGGAGATCGCACACCATTCACTCACCCGACCCGACGAAAGGAGGCGCAACTCACAAGAGCATCTCCTCCCCTTTTCACCCAGTCCTCAGAGCCAAGGGGAGAGGGCGAAGCGAGAAACCTGGGGGTAGTAGTAGCTACAGAGCTCTTTCCTCTCTCGCAACTTGGTCCTCTCCTCCGCTTTCTCTCGCTAGCTTTTCTCTGTCTCTCAGTGTCTCTCTTTGCGTGACACTCCGTGTTTACCGGGCGGGTGTCCCTCCCTGAGTCTCCCAAACTACTCGGCTGACACCAATGACCGCCAGAGCGCCTGGGGAGATCTCTGAATTGCTTTGCTCTGTGAAGATCAGAGACTAGAGTTTTAAGATAAATTAGATATGGTTCAACAAGTTAACTGCTTCTTCTTGAGCCTTAATTTTGCCGATCAAGCATAGTGAACGTCAAAAGTTCACTTTAAACTGACACAGTATGAAAAGGCAAAAAAAAAAAACCATACTTCAAAACAAAAATTATTTAACTAGCACATACAGAGTAGTCTGTATAAGTGATAGGCAACCTGAGTTCTGCTCTGGAACCCTAGTCAAGTATGAAGACCGAAGAAGGGGGCTTCAAAGATTTTTTTGAGGGGGGGATTGTCCTCTTTGGACAATTCAGGGAAAGACATGGGCAAAATATGCATTGAATGAGAAGGCACGGAAGGGCTGAAATTCCTATAAATGAAGTATCTGGATAGGTAATGTGAAGGACAAATTTAACCACCTAGTTTTCCTATGGTACTTTGACCAATGTCCTCAATATGTTACATATTGAGAAAAGAAAGAGTTAAAAGTAAAATCTCGCTTTAAAAAAAATTACCTTCTCACCTACTACCCTGGAAATAATCAGGAATGCATATTTATTTCTTGGGTATTGGACCTGATCTGTTCCTTTGTAAAAGGAGATTACTAATTCAGGACATTCTTTCAAGTTGCTTTGATCAATAATAGTATTGGCTTCACAAGAAAGGAAGGCTGGCTTGAAATCAGGAATTCTGAGTTCAAGTCTTGCCTCTGACATATTCTAGCCTTGTGGCCTTGGGCAAGTCTCTTAATTTGATAGTGCTCTAGGCATTTCTAAGAGAAGATGCCAACTTACTTTGGGAGAGGGAGTTTCCTCACCAAGGAGATCCTTATTTATATCCATGAAAGGACAGATCTACTCTCCTCACCTAAAGGTTTACACAATGCTTTACATGAATTCTCCTCTTTGATGACCCAGTGGGTAGTATATGTTATTATCCCCACTTCTCGGTCAAGAAAGCTGAGACACAGACAAGGTTGAAACAAACTTAGCAGGTAAGGAAAGCATATTATCTTCCTCTCTCCTGGCCACCATATTTTGTTTTGTTTTGTTTTTATCTGTCATCTCATTAGTGTAGGGAACACCTTATAAGAAAAATTCTCAACCATTGCAGTTCTTTTGATAGCATCTCTGCAGCTTACAGTCTTAAGGAATTGTCTGGGGTGCTGAGAAGTTAAATGAGGTGCCCAGGATCACATGGTCTATGTGTCAGAAGTGAGATTAGAATACAGGTCTTCTGAACTCTGGGGAAAACCTTCTAGCTATTATTCTATGTTGTCTCTAATTTTATAGATGGGGAAACTGAGGTGCGAAGCAGATAAGTGATTAAAGTTACATGGGTGACAGAACTAGGAATGGAATCCAGCTCTTGTGATTCTGCCCCAGGGATTTTTCCACTACACTGAGCTGGGTTTTCTGCATCCATTCTCAATTATTTAAGGAAGCCTGTGTGTTTGCCTGTGTTCTCAGAAACCACTGGAAACAGACCCCTGCGCTAGCCTGTTCAAATAAATAAATAAATAAATAAATAAATAAATAAATAAATAATTAAATAATTAAATAATTAAATAAATAAATAAATAAATAAATAAGCAAATAAGTAAATAAATGGAGGTCCAGCAAAGTTTTATATTTTGGATGAGTGTTTTGTTCAAGCAATATGAAATATTAGCAAAATATAAAAATACTGGGACGCCAACAACTTCTGTCCATGAAATAGTTGCTTTTCTGTTTGTCCATATAATAGTTTGAGGAAATATAATGTGACACAATAAAATTCAATAAGAACTCCCAAGCAGAAAAGACATTGGACAGGGACAAAGAACAAATTAGATTACTTATGTTGTTAATATTTGTGTGTGTTGCATATTCTTCCATTTTACTAAGCTTTTAAAAATTGGAGTTTATTGTTTTGTATGTGATGTTATTCCTTATTTTGCTCATTTGATCATTTTCATTCAATTCAGACAGGTGTTAAGTTTATAGGTTTTAAAAATACTTTCTAAGAAATAGGTATGAATAGGCAATCTATTGCATTCATTTTTTTTTTCGGCAGAAAAGTCTGTCTTGTAGCAATAAGTATCTCATAAGGAAATATCTCATAAGGCTGATCTCTGATCCAGCCCTATCATGGCTGAGTATCAGGGGAAAGAATCTGGAAAAAAACAAACAAAACCAGACTTCATATAAGCAAGGAGGAAGAGAGAACTAGAGCACCTTTGTTGTTGTTGTTCAGTTGCTTTTTTAGTCTTACCCAACTCTTGATGACCCTGTTTGGGGTTTTCTTGGCAGAGATATTGGAGTATGCCATTTCTTTTTCCAGATCATTTTTATAGATGAGGAAACTGAGGCAAACTTAAATGACTTGCCCAGGGTCATATAGCTAGTAAGTGTCTGATGCCAGATTTGAACTCAGGAAGAGGAGTCTTCCTGACTCCAGTAAGGCACTCAACCCACTGCACCACCTAGCTGCCCTAGCACACCTTATCTTCTTTTTTGTTTGTTGGCTTAATGTCTGGTATAGTGAAAATAATACTGGACCTGAAGTCCTCACAAAGCCAGGGTTTGAGGACCTGCTTTGCCAAATATTAGTGGTGTAACTTTGGGCAAGTCCTCATCCTTTGAGCCTCTGTATTCTCATTTGTAAAATGGGGATCATAATATATTACCTACTTCTCAGGATTGTTGTGGAAAAAGTACTTTATAAACTTCAGAGTGCTATATAGATGTTGGCTATTATAATTTGTGTTTAGTACTCACATATCTTCACCTTTCTCCTCTCCCTATCCTTGTGTAAACACATATCTCTGCAATCCCTTTTACACTCATCTCCCCTGTCAACCTCTGTGTCACCACTGGATTCTGACTCTCAATACCTCCCTCCAGAACTACTGCAGTGCTCTTAAAGTCAGCCTCAAAATTTCTAGTCTGTCCCACTTCCAAAATAGTCTATATATTATTGCCAATTCCTAACGCATAGGTCAAATTTCATCCATTTACTGTTCAAAGGCCTTCAATTGTCCCCCATCACATCCCAGTTAAATTGTAAATTCATCAGTTTAGCATTCAAGGTCCACTACAATTTGATTCCAACTTAGCAGTTAATGTTATATACTGGACCTACAATTTCAAAGGTGTAGGGAACTTCCAGAGGGTGGAGAGTGTCAATTGGACAGAGCTAGCCTCTAACCTGTGGATGGCTAGAGCTGAACAGAGCAGTCTAGAGACAGGAGAGTCAGGAATCAAAAAGAAGTTTAATTTCAAAGTGAGGGAAACAGCTTGCAAGAAAGGACACATGTGCTGGTGTTCTGCTCCCTAGTGCAAGGGACCCAAGGCAGCATGAGGAGATCTCAATACTTATTCCAATGGCTTCCCAGTGAGCTGTAGCCCTGACAATGAGGGGTAGCAGCAACAATGTGACAAGTTTAATTCATAGCAGGTCTTCATGACCAGAACATGGATACAGCAGGTGCTTGTCCGAGCTCAGAGAATACCTAGTGCTGGTCAAAGCAATACAATAATTATATGAAACAATTCTGGCATTTTGCAATGGCTGAGATCATCCAGGGGATTATTGTTATGCCAAGCTCAGGGTACACAGCTTGCTTGCTAGGCCTTAGCTCTGGAAGACAGGGTGTCTCCTAATACCTTGCCAAGAGGAAATACTCTCTCTGTCAGTAAGATGTTAAATTATTTGCCCAGGGTAACAGCCAATATATGCCTGGTGTTGCAGGCTTTAAGATGAGGTCTCAGGGCATTGAGGTGGTGCAGTGGATAGAACACCATCCCTAGAATCAGGAAGACCTGAGTTCAAATTCAGCCTCAGATAACTACTAGCTATATAACACTGGACAAGTCACAGCCCCAATTGCTTAAAAAAAAAAAGACATGATCTCTATCCACTCTGCTACACCACCACAGCTAAATCATATTATTCTCTACAGCTGCCTCAGTTTACCACCTTTTTGACTTTGTTCTTTCCTTTGTCTATGTCTAGACCCAACCCCACATGCAAGGCTCACCTCAAATTCACCTTCTCTCTAATGCCCTTACAAAGGAAAAAACACTTTTTAAACCCCCCACATTCTATATAAATATGTTGTTGTTATCATTCCTTCAGCCAGAAGTGATATCTCCCTCTTTTAAAATCACATAGTACTTTATATAGTACTACATGATTAGAGGAGTTTAAGCAGAGACTGAACAATCATGTGTTGGAAATCTTGCAGAGGGGAGAGATGTGTAGCCTAATGACTGGAGAGCTAGCTGCCTTCTGAGCCAGGAAAACTCAGGATCAGATCCCATCTCTGGCCCATACTAGCTACATGATCGTAGGTAAAACTGCTCAGGGCTCTGGGAACCTTCCTGCCACTATAATTTTCTGATGAGGTGCTGATGCTTTTGTTAAGCACCTACTATGTGCCAAGCACTATTCTAAATACTAAGGATACAAAGAAAGGCAAAAGATAATGACTGCTTCGAGGACCTCACAGTCTAATGGGGGAAGCAATATGTAAATAATTATGTCAAATCCTCTTCTTGGCTTTTAAAGCCATTCATGGCCAGGCCCCCTCCTACCTTTCCAATCTTCTTACACCTTACTCCTTTCCATGTAATCTATGAACCAATGACTTTGGACTCCTTACTATTCTTGTACTACATTCCATCTTCCCGTGAATTCTCATCGACTGTTCCCCCTGCCTAGATGTAGTTGATCCTGGAGGCAATAGGGAGCCACTGGAGTTTATTGAATAGGAGAGTAACCTGGTTAGATCTGTGCCTTAGGAAGATCACTTTGATAAATGAGTAGAAGAAGATGCACTGGAGTAGGGAGAGACTTGAGGAAGGGAGACCGAACAAAAGGCTATTGCAATAGTTGGGGCCTGAGGTGGTAAAGGCCTACTTTAGGTCGATGGCAATGTCAGAGGAGAGATATGGGCATGAACGACATGTTACAAAGGACAGACAGG